AACATCGCATATTAGAATACAAAGATAGTGGTAGAACGCGGAACGGCAACATGTTGCCGTTCAGCCACGCTACCGTTATAGTGGTAGAAAGAGAGAGACAGTGGAATCAGCAATATCTACGGATCGTGGCTGGATCAACTAAGTGTGCAAGTTTATATAAATGTATATATATATATACATTTGTCTTTAATTCAAAGGAAATATAAATAATGAACGCATCACATTTAAAACAGTATAAATAGTTAATAATTTAATAATAAGTTAATAGTTTAATAAGTACGTACGTAATATTATCACATGGTAACAGCACGTATTATGGCAAAAATAAACATCGGCTGATTTGAAAAGATTTATTATAGTAATAATAGTAATCTCAAGACAATTCACACAGCTTCGTCTAGACCCAAGTTAAGCTAGCTGAAGATTATGTTATGGGTACTAGACAACTGATATAAATACAAAGATTTTTTGTGGTAAATACATATATATTATCTATACATAGAAAACACCCAGACCGTTACAAACAATCATACTCATGAATACAAATGTTTGCAGCGTGCGAGGAATCGAACCCTCGACCACCAAGCAGGAATCAAAGCGGTGTGCTAGCTAAATCGCTAGACTACCGATAACTAGCTGTACACGCGACTTCGTCCGCGTGGAATTTAACTTCTTATATTTTAGAAAAATAAAGTGAAATTCCACACGGACGAAATCCCGTGTACAGCTAGTCATCAATAAAAAAACACGTAGGTATCTCTAATATATTATACACTAGCTGTACCCGCGACTTCGTCCACGTGGTTTTTAACTTTATTTTTCTAAAATAAAAGTAGCCTAAGTTACTCCTTATTACATCAGCTACCTGCCAAAAAAAATCCCGTCAAAATCGGTCCAGCCATTTCAGAGATTAGCTGGAACAAACAGACAGACAGACAGACAGACTAAAATTATAAAAATAGTTATTTTGGTATATGTACCTTATATATATTCATATGCATGTAGTAAAAAACGGTTATTTCAATATTACAAACAGACACTCCAATTTTATTTATATGTATAGATGTATAGATTATTATTTATTTATTTATTTATTCATCCAAAATAATACAAATTGTGTAGGATAACGTAATAGTAACATTACAGTAAAATTTTGTCAACAACATAATAGCAACTTAAATATTAAATCTCGGTATATCTATAGACTAGCTGGCCCCAGCGACTTCGTCCGCGTGAAATTTTATTTTATTTTTCTAAAATAACAGTAGCGTAAGTTACTCCTTATTACATCAGCTACTTGCCAAAAAAAAGTCCCGTCAAAATCGGTCCAGCTATTTCAGAGATTAGCCGGAACAAACAGACAGACAGACAGACAAAACTTGTAAAATGCGTTATTTTGGTGTATACCGTATTTATATTCATATGCAAGTAGTAAAAACGGTTATTTCAATATTACAAACAGACACTCCAATTTTATTTACATGTATAGATGTATAGATTAAAAAAAAAAGTAACAGTCATAAGGCTAGTCGTATGCCTAATATATATAATAATGTAATAAATTCATTTAAACAGAAATTGCGGGAACATTATTTAAATTTGTAACTTTTTTACTGTCCTTCTCCAATTTTCACATCTTTCTGTTATATCCCTATAGTTCTCTCTATATTTTCTGTTTTTCTTACTTTCAATTTGAGACTGTACTTATAATATGATTATCAGATCATTATGTATTTATTTATATATAATATTTATACATTTATGGGTTATATTTAAATGAATTTAATCGATAAAATCGTTGTTAAGTATTAAATTAATTTTAAGTGATATTAACTATTATATTATGCATAAAAAATATTTGTAATAATAAAGAAAATACATTTAAAATGTTTTACTTGTTGTGTTAGTTATTTATAAGATCTTACTATAATTGTTAGCTGCTTTACAATTTAGAAAGTACAATAGGTAATGTAAATTAAAATTAATTGAATACTTAACAACGTTTTGTTCGATTAAATTCATTTAATTATTAAAATAGTTAAATTAGAATAAAGACAAAAAAAAATAACAAAAAAAATCGGTGGCGGGAATCGAACCTTGAGCGTCCGTTTGGTAAGTTGATTCAAAGGCTTATTAAAATCAAAATTCAAAATTCAAAGGCTTATTTCTTCGAAATTACTGGTCATTTTGAAATAATACTTAGGGTTCGCATACCTTTATCGGATACTACTACTACACGGAGTTTCGTCAAAATAAAATATCTAGGTTAGGTATAATAAATTCATAATTAATAGACCGTTACGGTATCTGTATATATTCGGATCAAAACACTATACTATGAAATAAGAACGAGTATGTAAATTGATTAACACAAGTAATTGATTTTTGAAATATATTCAGAGCCAAAAAGTCTTCTTTCTTTATTTATGTACTTGTTAGATGCGACAGCGACTTTGTTTTATACTATACTATACTATACTATGTAATGATTGATATACCTAAAATAAATAAAATATCTGAGGTTTGGACAAAAACTCAAAGGGTAATTTATTTTGAAAAAGTATTTTGAAAATACCTATTTTGCTTTTAGTGTTATAGTACTTTAACTGATATGTTTTAAGTAACAATGTTTAATTATAATTAATACTACTGCACCAACACTCCGATCGTGCAAAAAAATTTGCTGTTTCATTATTTTTTAGTTCAATTAGTGGTCTACCTAAGTCCTGGGCTAAGGGGGAGAGTCATGACGCCCCCATGACTCCCATGACCTCCATGACGCTCCCCCTGGATCCGCCGTTGCGTCTTCTCTTTATTCGCTCAGTAACGTTGTTACAAAAGAAAAGATTCCCGTCCAAAAAAATAATAAGTATTGAGGTTTGATCTGGAGTCACGTTACTCCAGACTGATTTCTATGAATATTTAGATTAGATAGACTATTATTCTTGAAATACTAGCTAGACATTATTAAGTTACTGTAGCCATAATGTAGTAGCCCAAACGTGCCAATGAGGAAGCCCTTGGCAAATGCTGCACCCTGATTGGCCCGTTTGAATTGGATCAAGAACTGCTCGTATGCCAAAAAGGTGGATTTGTATAAAATCGTGTATAAATCGCGTAATTATTATTATTACTCGTCGTGACAGTTGTGGCTCAAAACGGATCAACATTTATATATGGTCATCTGGCATTAGATCAACAAAAGGCCTCCGGATCAACAAGTGAAAAAGGATCAACAAAAAACTACCTATACGGCACGTCTGAGCCACAAAGTGCCCAAGGGGATATTTATATATATATATATATATATATATCAGGAACTAAGTAACTAGCATTAAGCATCGAATCGATATTCAAAATATTATATCTTAAAAATATGACCTAAGATCAATAACACTACACGATGTCTATATTAAAAAACGTTTAAACTTTATATGTTCAAAATGTTTATAGTTTCCAATGAAAGCTGTGTAAAGCGTGTACGGAACTAAATTGAATTGTATAAATTCTGAACGATATATTACAAGTGATAAGAATAAAAAGGTAAATAATAATTAATAAAAACTACTAAAATTAAACTCGAGGGCGAATTTAAAACCGGCCACTCACCAAAGAGGCCAGCTGGTAATGCAAATATGCATCCTAATAAAAAAGAAATAGAAAGATATATTTTATAATATATTAGTTGAAACAGTATCGTCGCATTAGTTAAATGTGTAATCATCAAGGTGTTTCATAAAACTAAATAATCACATTTAATTTATTGCATATTATAACATTTTTTAATCATCACAGAAGACAAAAAAAGTTCAATTATTTATAACTCTTAAAAATATTATAATAATATGATGAATCATACATGAAATAATATTCAATATCATCAGGATAAGCCTGGAAAGCATGTAACCTATTTATGAAGATCCAAAAAGTATAATATGAGAAATTTGATTATTTAGTTTCATGTACATGCATTAAATGTGTAGTCTGTTACAATAAAACATTATTTAAAAAACATAATAAAATTATTATCACTATTATAACATGTTAAGTAATATTTGTACTGGTTTAAAATACAAAAATACAATAATATAGTCATATTGACTATAACTACTTCTCACACATCTACCAAACCTTGATTTATCACCACATCCATATCTTTCAAACCAAACACATTGTTAATTTGTTCACCATCACCATTATAACTACCCAAGAGCACACTTCATCAATGCATTACTTAAAAAAAAAAAAAAATGTCTAATCACACACTACATAAAAATCCATCCGAAAAGAAACTTAAAGTTATTAAAATGATTAAAAAACTATTTTAATGTACGAGTATATATTACGTAACAAATTAATCGAACTAAAGCTGAATTATCACTATATATATTAAAAAAAACTAAGAATATATATACTAGCTTTTGATTTCACAATGTGAAGAACAAACAATAACAATCTATAATAATTTCAATCGAAAAATTAGATTGTTCTCATTGACGTCAATTTATATGCAGATTAATCATTACAATAACATTTGAATGGGCTACAATGACATTATATGCTTACATTTAAGGTAATCGAAAACACAACAAAATATTATCTTTTATGATTATGACTTCAACAAGTATAGAATAGTAAGTACGATTGACGTAGGTATTAACTAAATTAAAAAAATCTAGTTTCAGAGTTAGAAGACCATATATGTCAATTTCATTCATTCCTCGTGTCATTACTTTAATATAATTTAATATTAAATTTCTTGACTGGTGTGTAAAAATGCAAAAGATTGTAACAAGTATAAAGTAGTAAGTACGATTGGCGTAGATATTAATTCAATTACAAAATCTAGTTTCAGAGATTTCATTCATTCCTTGTGTCATGATTATTTTAATACTATGTTTTTTGAGTGGTGTGTAAATAAGGGTATGCAGACAACAGTGCTTAGATTTAAGTTTATTTGAATAAAGGTTTTTTTATTCTATTCAAATGTGTGTACTCACCCTGGTGACAGCTTGCAGGAAGGCCTGCTGTCCGAGCTGCAGCCGCTGTCGACTGACGGCGGCTTCCATACGTCGCTTGTCGAGCTCTATTCGCCGTCGCTTCTCTTCCAGTTTAAGTCGGATGTTGTTCAGTTGCGCCGCCATCGCCTGGCCACCACCCGCCGTCATTTCTTCGGACACTTCTGCACCGTCTAGGAAATATTACATTTTGTTATTTTTTTTTGACTTGCACATTTGCATACACATATTTGAACTCTTTTATAATACGATAAACAACACGGGTAATAATTTTGTATTTTAATTTACTTTGGGTATCAATATTTATTATTTCACCCCGCACCCCGACAAAATTTCGAATCTGACTTAATTTGTAAGCTTTAGTTATGAAATAGTGGAAAGTGTATTACAATATAAAAAGTTAGTTACAGACCATCAGAAATAGATACAAAAGATGTTAAAAAAGATAGCAAAATCCCTTCAAAAATTGAGCTTACAATATTTTTCATTATAAAAAGCATGACATTTATCATTCAAGTCAGTGTAATAATCATACTCGACATTTTCTTATAATTAATTGTTTTATCCAATATCTTGGTAAGTTACCTATGTTTCAGTTATTTGTGTGCCTTTCACCCGTACGTCCACAAGCTATAATATAAGTATATATTACTGTATAATACGCAAAATAACTTACATTCTCAGCAATAAAAATGGATCAAGTTATTCATAAATGAATGAATTTATGTTAGAGACATGTAATTTGTCCACGTCGTTTGCATGCAACACTTGACATGTCCTCCGTTTCTCGAATTAGTTTATTTGTTAAGTGTGTTTCTGCCACTGCGATTGTCACTCAGAAATATATGTGAATCATACGGTTTTTATTTCAATGTCAGGGGAATGACCTCATTGTTATTGACCTTTACATTTACATGAAGTCGTGTTAGTATACCATTAATTCACAATATTACATACATATCATATACTTACATACAGTTGATAGTATAAACTAGCCTATACTTAAAAAATATATGTATATAATTTTCACTAACTAGGATGATGTTCTTGTTGCATGAATTGTTGTTGCCACGTAGTCGTGTTTGCTGGTGGTGTGGCGAACGTCGTGCTTTTCCGCCTTTCATTCGGTTCACACTCCTGACTGAACTGAGACTGAAGACCTGTTGATTAATCAATAACCATTAAAATATCAGTCATATAAAACGCATTCAGGTTAGTAACCAAGCATGCATATTATAAATTCTAATAGTAATAAAAATTGCAGTGTTATGTCGCGTTTTGAACTGAGGTAATGGGAATATGTGGTCCAGTGAGCGCTACAACAGACTACATGTAATTACGTGTGTTATTTACTATTAATAATAACATAGTTTTAATAATTATACGTCACGTATTTACAGCAGTTGTGCAGCGCTAAGCTTGTGCATTCCAAGCGCGAACATAGAAAGCGTTCAAACAACATTCAAGAATACGTCTTTAAAATGAATAAAACCGAAGTAGTTAAAGGACCTAGCTTGTTTTGACAACCGTTTTATATGGCTACCATATATTATCACATTTTACACTTCAACTTCTTTGATGGTAACTCTACTAGCGCTGGGCCAAATAGTAGCCATGTACCTCACAAATATAGCTAAATCATTGCTATATTGCAAACAGAACCGTTTTATAAGATACGTATTAAAAATGTACGTCAAACGGAACACAGTCAAACCAAGTTCTCTAACCACGACCACCACAATCACAAACCTTTCTGATCACCGTTACTCCTAATCTTAGTCAAGTCCGCGAAACTCGTCTTTGTGGCGTCACCGTCCGTCGAATCCCGCTCGTTGAGGAAGAACCCATCCCCGCCGCCTTTGTAATTGAACCCGAAGTTCTGGTTGAGCGTGATGGTGTCGCTGCTGAGTTGCCTCCTGATGGGATAGTACGGCTGTTCATCCGCATTCGACTGCGAATTCTGCCGCTCAACCTTCGGTTTCTCTTCTTGGCCATTTTGGTAGTCGCCGTGGAACAACTGGATGGAGCCTCGGATGTCCTGTCTCGAGCTTCGCAACGGTGGATTGTAGTCGAGAGGGCCTAGAAGATAATCGAATAGTGTTACACGGCCGTCGGCCGATACGGAGCGCGGCACAAAACCCTTCATCGAAGCATCACGCACGTAATACGAGTGGGGCTCATTACTTTAATATAATTATTATGAGTGGGCGCGCGTCCGTCGCGCCCAGTGTCTCTCACGCGATGACCGTGAGTGTAACGATTTCGCGTACACTCATTATGACCATCTGTGTTAGTTAGTGAAATGTTAAATGTAATAATTTGACGTAATACTGTCGAGTTTCAATAAAAAAATATATTTCCTCATAAATTATGCAAATAGTTATATAATGAAATCTAGAAATTAGGCATATCACATAAAACTCGTTAGACTACTTTAATAAATAATATTAATTTAGTCGAAAAACTATACTACTGCAGATTATGTGTCTTAATTTATACAACTTAGTAGTCATTGATTGTGAAATTATATGTAAAATATTTGTAAATAGTCAGTGGGAATTTAGTATGTCATTTTTAACATAATAACATTGCATAAAATTAATATATAATTAGAAAATAATGTATTTGTGTTAACTGTTTATTTATTATGGTATAGATTTGTTTTATTAACAATATAATTTTTAAATGACCATAAATATAATTATCAACATTGTTTACCAAATATATCTGGTAAAAATATAGTATATCAAGCAATCAAATATATTATTTCGTCACCTTCATATATTATAGTAAGAATTTCTTAATTCACTCGTGTGTGTATCTCTCCTCGATGAAATAAACATAAAAAAAATATCTAAGTATATCTATTAATTATCCCCATAACACAAGTTGTGCTTATTTGGGAAGCTGTGTGAATTGTCCAGGGCTATTATTATTACTATTCCACACGGACGAAGTAGAGGATACCGGCTAGTATATTAATAAAACGTGTCACCGACCGGCCGGAGCGGAGATCTTCCTCGCAGGCGCGTGGTGTCCGTGCTGCGAGAGCGAGGCGAGCGTGGCGAGTTCCTTCTCCGGGTTGCGTCCGGCGAAGTGCAGCCGGTCCTGCGAGCCGCCGAAGTTCTCGACCGTGAGCTGGCTGTCGTCCGACACGGACGAGCGCCGCGACCGCCGCCCGGCGAACGTGCCGTCCGACGCGCCGCCCGTACTGGGCCGCCCGGCTGCCGGTTCTTCCCGCCACCCGGACGTGCCTGCATATATATTTTTTTTTTATTGGATTGTTTGGGCTATTGTCAGATGTGTAGCACCTGTAGCACTGCGACCTACATAGATCTATTGTGCTCGCCCTTTTCAGAGTTCGCTACCTAGACCCGTCAGGGACAAGAATTGAAGGATATTCTTAGGAGCGATCGTTTTTATCTCCTCGGGAAAGAGTGTAAACTTTCCAAAGGAGATATTTCGTTTATGCATGAGTGGGCTACAACCACATAGGATGTGAAGCGGCGTTTCCTCTTCAGTTTGGCAGAATCTGCAGATACTTGTCGTGCATAGGCCTAGTTTAGCCATATGCTTGTTTAATTTGCAGTGTCCTGTGAGGGCCCTAGTCATCATGCATATGTTGTTTTTACTCAATAGCAGTAATCTATTGGAGTATTTGGTCGAGAAGTGCCTGCATACGTCACACATTATTATTACTATAATGTAGTAAAACTGAACTGAGAAAATGGTTAAAAACGGTTGAAAGTGCCGTCGGAAACGCCAGCCGTACGGCTCAGTACGGGTGGCGTGTCGGACGGCACGATCGTCGTCGGGACACGTAACACATTACTATCTTTACCGTAATATAACAAAAATATTCTGTTGAAATAGTTTAGAAAACGTTACCACAAATTTCGATTGTTTCACTATCTCTGGACAAATACAATATTATTTATTTCAGGCTATTAATGACATATATTATAAATACCACATAAACTAACATACATAAATAATGAAAAAATAACATTAATATAAATTGTCTCTGTAGTCAACTGACGACTGACGACACGGAGGAAGGCAATCTGCCATCTTACCCCCCTTCGGCTACTGAGCACATTGCAAAGGCCGTGGTATCTCTGAAACGTTCCCGTTCTTGAGAACTTAAACAGTATACGTCCGTACTCTATAATTTCACTGCTACTTTTCAAACAGAAAAACAGATTTAGATACGTCAGAGATACCCATGTAAACGACTTCGTAGCGTATCCCTTTGGGAGAGAGTTTAGATTAGTGTGTAACGAACCGTTAACCACGCAAATGACTATATACCGTATCCCTTTGAGCGAGAGTCGAGATTAGTGTGCAACGTACCGTCATCCCGGCGCGCGAGCGAGGCCAGAGTGGTGACTGGTCGGCCGCGATGCACTACGAAGTCGTCCCGCGCGGAGGCCGGGCTGCAGCTGCGCCGCTCGGGCGTCGAGCACGCCGACCGCCCGCTGCGGCCGCGCCCTCCGGCCGCACCCATCGCGGACGGCGAACGTGGCACTGGGAACACACTCTGTTGTTACATACATACACACGACGGGAGATTCCTGCTACTTAGAACATTCCGAAAGAATGAGTTATGAAACTAACGAATAATAATTTGAAGTTAAAAAATATAATAATTAAATGTCGACAATATTAAGTTAGGACCAATTTCGTAAAGAAACAGATAATAAATACAGATATAGAATTTGTTTTGAATTAAAAAATAAAATCGAATTGAAATACTCGTCCAAAATAGATCACAGAGAAATACAATGACATTTATTATAAAAACCTATTTTACAAAAATACTTTAATATATGAATATTTGTTATATATATTCATAAAAATCTGTAAATATTCCATATGACAATAGTTAAAAATTTCAATGTAATTAATGAAGCATATTTTGAAACAAATTTCTAAACCATAAATACCAAATAGCCTTCAGAAATATTATACATAACTCATCAAATAATTAAAAACTTACCTTAACAAACTAAAACCATTTTGAGATTATTGCACACTAACAAATTAATGTTAAAAAATATATACGAATACTGGCGAAGTGGCAAAAGTAAAATACAAAAACATCAACACTACATTACTACGGTGCGTAACACTACAATATGGGAGTCCTGAGGACATAATGCCAATGACTCCATTAATGTTAAATTAAAAAATAAAAAGTTAGCCACAGCTCCAAGCCTTCACACTGCATGCAGAAGAAAAAAATATATAATAAAATCACTTGTTAGAAAAGCTTTTGTTTCAGAAGTGTTAATTATACCAGAAGCACACTACAATGTTAAGAAAAGCAATACTAATATTATACATAGTAAAAACAGTTGTATCAAGTACCTAAATTATTAAAAATCACGCTAAATTAATAAAATATAAAGGCTAAAGACTTAAAGAAAAAAATATACACAATTTCTGTATTAAAAAAATTTAACACAAGGTTTAGCAGCAAAATAAATCACACGATAATAACATAAAAAGATACATCAATATCATATGTAATCATGTATAAAGGTTAAAAAAAAAAACAAAACCCAAGTATAGCAGCGCACCCACGAACCAATCACTCCGTACGATGGGGGCGTAACCAACTGGTTTGCGGTCGAAGAAACATTATTTCGTTTTGTTTTAGATTTTGTCGAGAATATCGCATTATATGCTATAGGATTACGTAGGTTTTTTTTACAAGATATTTGTAGCTTTATTCCCATATTAAAAAAATGTACAAACGTGTCATAATTGTTCTGACCTATTTCGAGCTACATTCTTAATTGGAAAGAATGTGATAAAATACTTTATTAGCTAAAATACATTTGGTTCTTTTATGAATAACGAGTTCTAAGTTATATCACATTGGTATTGGTATTCAATTTTCAATTGAAAGTAGAAATAAAATTGTCATAAAATAAATTTTTAAATAGACTTAAGTTTGATATATTTTATTTTTATATTGTTACACACGGAAATGATATTCTGAGTATTAAACATACTTCAACGCCATATTTTATACTAGTTTATTAAGTATATTAACATTATACATATTTAATTTGTTTACTAATAAATAAACACCCGGCAAAGTTTACACCAAAACTGTAAAAAATACATGAAAAAGAAACATAAAAAGAAGTCGATACACCCACTGTGCTGACACTGACAGTGATCTTTAAAACTTGCAAGTGCAACGGTCATAAATAGGGTGCGTATCGACTTTCCAATTTCAAGAAATTCACAAGCATAAGTTAGCGTCAGTGTATTCGGAAGTATAGAATCTATTAGTTTTCTATAAAACTCACAATGATATCCAGTTATAGATATGTAAGGCTATTCATGAAACTAAGGAAGTTTCGCTTAAGAACCGTTTTAAATATAATTTTAAAACTTCTCATACATACTGCACTATTTCTTATTAACTCATAAACTCGATTTCTTAAACGGATATAACATGTACTGTACATTGTGCACATATAAAAATTATATGATCATAAGAGACAACTACACAGTCTACAGGCTGACTTTTACTACTGATGTTATAGTCCAGATCAAATCGAAGTGATAATTTCTGTGTAACATTTTAACTAGCTTCTATCGTATACTGGAATACAAACTCAAATGATATTAAATACAATCCTATCGCATTTTAGAGCCTTTAAGTTCTTTATCGTTAATTAATGTAACCAAATTTCATTTTATTATTCGTTCTTATTCACGCTGACTTATACTTGCGGTATACATTTGAAAAGCGAACACCGAGCCAACGACGTACAACACGAACACACAAACAGTGAGACGAGCACCAGATGATGCGGTACCTGCGAAGGGCGGCAGCGCGGGCCCGGGCTGGTCCCCGCGCAGGTCCGGTATGGGCACGGGCGGCGGCGGCGGCAGGCAGCGCTTGTGCCGCACGCCGTGCGCGTTGCTGGCGCCGCACGCTGCGGACACAACCACCGCCCACGTGCTAGCCCGCAGTCACGTGCCGCGCCCCGCCCCCGCACACACCCGGGGACCGGGCGCGGACGAGACTGCATCGCTTTACAACACGTAGACACAACCAGCGCCCACGTGCTAGCCGTAGTCACGTGCCGTACCACCCCTTTCCGCACACCGAGAGCGGACGAGATTGCGTCGCTTTATAACACGCACTAAACCATCGCTCCACGTTGGGAGCGTGCTGAATTGCGGACGCGCACAACAAAGCGAGACAGGGTGACAACATTATTCCAAAGCTATTTGTTTACTTATACCTCAAATATAACTTACCTCTATATATGTTACGTCGATTTCTTCGTTTTAAATTAAAATACACACAGAATTAGTAGTAAAGGATATGCCGACCAGAAACGCAGTATGAATGAATCGGACCGCTCCAATATTCTTCGTAGTACTAAAGTAACTAGTTACATACGAAAAAACTGTTGTTGTTCTCATTTGTTTTAACCCAGTTACATATCGATATTTTTCATTACAAAGCTGTTCATACCAGGTTTTTAAATCAATAAATCCTTTACAACCAATCCATCAAGTACCTATATAAATATAATAACACTACGATTTTATATAAATTATACAATATTTAAATATTCTTTAAAATAACATTTATACATTAGTCCACAATGCCCGATTCTACCTACATATGTTTCCAGTTTATAAGCAATACTATAATACCGTCGCTTAATTATATGTTTAATCATTAGTATGCACAGAATCTTTGATATTATGACCACATACTCCCATTAGAGGTACATTGTAGCATGCATTACAAGAACTAGAATTCGGACGTGTTATGTACGTGTTAGAATTTACAATCGCACTCACCACTTGCTGGATATTTGACAGATTTGACCGGATGCACCTCGAGCATGTTGAAGAGATCAGCAAGCATTGCTACCAAATTTTGTCGCATTGATCTGAAATGCACATATATAAAAAATAATTATTTCGTTTTTTTATGTGTGAATTGACACATACTTCTTAACTCATACACATTAAACGTATTTATATGTAGTCTCTCATATCACATAATTTATTATTATTATAAAATATGACTAAAATGTTATCTCAGTTTAAGAAATATATGATATCAGAACACATAAAATATGATAAGTTTCAAATCATTCTATTCTTTGAAGTCGCATGAATAAAGAAAAACACATATCAATGAACAAAGATGACATATTTTGATATAGCTATAAACATGTAATTCATTCATAGTTAATGTCTTTTTCACAACTGTTCTTAATTCGTCTTTGCCCCAGTTGCAAACAAACTGCGTCATCTGATAAAGAATAACAAAGACACTGAAGGTAATTGATACCATTTGTTTAGTAATCGAAGAGGAATATTATTGTTCTCCATTTAAGAGTGTAAAAAAATTATATTCATAATTCCTTGAAAAACACTAATAACATAATAAAAGTTCTGTATTTTTGTAACGAAAAAACTCGAAAACTACCAAAATATAAAAAAAAAATCACTACTATAATGCTCCATTGTTACTGAGTAACGTAGGCTATATTTGTTATTATAAAAAAATATGGATACCTATAAAAAAAACTGTACCCGTATCTGCCGGGACGAGCCGCTAGTCTTTACATATTATAAAACAAAGTGCCGCCGCTGTCTGTTCGTTTATATCTTTCAAATTACGCAACGGATTTTAATGCAGTTTTCAGCAAAAGATAAAGTGATTCAAGAAGAAAGTTTATATGTATAATACATGCGTGTTATAGTATAGAACAAGCCGAGAAAATCTGTTTTGTAATACATTCGTGCAATGCCGGAATGGGTCGCTAGCTTATTTATAAAATTTAGGATTAAAGTAATAAGTGCAATGCTCACTTTCTACCTACTTTTCTTAGGTATTTTATATAAATATTATAAGTATCTAAATTGTATTTTACACTCATCAATGGAAAGTGATAATCATTATCCATATACATAAAAGGTCGGGTAAAAACTAGGTCCATCTCGCGATTAAATTCAATTCATATAATAATAGTTGAGACTAGACTTGCCTACTACATAAACAGCAATAGACAATATTAGGTTACGGGTTTATGACTTGACTCTATACACCATAGCTTATTCAGAAACATAAAGGAAGTGTCATGTATTGTATTACAGTGTTATGATCTCGTAAATATAATTTGATATATCATTATAAGATAACAGAGAGTATATAAATAATAAGTTAATATAGTAAATAAATAATTAACTAACTATCAAGGACATCCCTCTTTACCAAAAATTATATAATTTCAGTACTAATATTATAAACTAGCTGTAATCTGCGACTTCGTCCGCGTAAGATATGACCTTTTTTTATTTAAAACATATTATTTCTGTAATAAAAGTAGCTTAAGTTGCTCATTATGACATCAGAAAGAAAATCGGCGCAGCCGTTTCAGAGAACAAAGGAGAATAAACACACATACAGACACAATAATTTATAAGTACAGCATATACTTTCATATGCATTTAGTAACATTCTTATTGAATAGCGTAGAAAATCTATCCAAATAAACTTGAATAGGCTAAGCAAAAGCAGTTTGTACTTTGGCATTTCAAAATGTTCTCACCCTCGCATATACGTGACGTCCTCCGGCATCATATGGAACACGTTGTGCGGCAGGCACGTTTGGCAGAAGTCGTACACGAGCCTCAGGTTGTGGAGACAGTCTTGTATGGAGGCCATGCGGCCCACGCGGACGGCGGAGCGAGGCAGCGCGTCCGGACAGTAGAATGACGTCAGCGCCGCCAGCGCAGTGCCGTCGCACAACTCCTGCAGGCTTTTCACCATTGGCACCTGCGATCCTGTCTCCTGGAAAATATAATAAACCCCACATATACATTTATTCATATTTATAGTTTTATATTTAGCAGTGGTCGTCGAATTGACGAAATTCGACCATAATTACTTATAATTTTGAACATTCGAACAGGTTCTATTGCCAAGAAACTACACTTCTATCTACATCGTGTGTGTGTGTGTCAAATACATGGTAGTGTGTGTAGTGTTTTTTTATTGTTTTAATGTATTATTTTAAAAAAAGTATTAGAATTTTGCACTTCTTCTCTATATACACTATAAGTGTGCGAAATTTCATCAGTCCGCGCAATTTTCATATAACGGGGTACAAAGGTTTTGATTCACGTATTAATTATAATGATAATTTGTTCGGATGAATTTGTTATACAAAAATATTAATCTATCTTTGATAAAATAAAATACAATATTTTTATAATGTGGTTTTCTATAGATAATATTATAAAACATTTAAGTCGGTCAGCAATTTTTGGTTTCATCCGTCACAAACAAAACATCAAATCTATCCTTTTTATAATATTAGTATAGATGAGAGAATCTTGTCTCAGGCTATCTATTTAAGACGGTCATGATATTTTCCATATCCTTAAGGAACCTTCATGAATAGGCCATAGATTAAGTTACCGTTGCAATAATAAGAATATAAATAAGCATACATTTAAGCTGTTGTCCTAGACATACAAATGATACGTAAAAGCTGATGCCTAAAAGTATTTTAAAAGAGGTGTTTAAGTTGTACTAAACTTAAACACTTTTTTTTAAATACTTTTTACAGACTAAACTGAAGAAATATTCATGAATAGAAATGTTTATGTATTTGAACTTGAATATAATAGTCACAACAAACCTCGGCTTTGTTGAGCGCAGCGCAGGCGGCGTTGATCCAACACAAGAGGCCGTCTTCATGTGGAATGTTGGAGCTGCCAGGTAGAGGTTGGCTGGTACCGAACCGCTGCGCCGCAGCCGACACCCGGTCCAGAGTCACCACTTCCCGCGCGTACAGCACCATCAGTGCTTCTATCACAGCCATGTGAGCAGTCTGCAATAATAGATTAGGTCATCAGGACTTGATTAGCTTGTAGGATAGATGTTTATGTAATTGTAATGACAAACAAACTGACAGCGCATCGCATGGTAAGCGATGATAAACGTCGCCTACATACATACATGAACAGCACTACGACATCATGTTAGAATTTATACTTGTGATACTACTCATACTGTGCCATTGCAGGACTAAGAAGTCATGTCTTATGTCCTGTAATTTCACTGCCTAATCGGACTCTAAAATCGAAACACAGCAAAATTTGCCACTGAAATAGACAAAACTAATGTCCACACGCAGTCGACTATTTACATGAATGATGATGGAGTGGCGTTCACGACTCAATAGCGTAAACGCTGGCGGTCCACGATGCCAATGGCTGTTGCTAAAGGTGATGGTGCCAAGACCTCATCATAATGTTTGTGAACTATATAAAAATATTTGAGATGTATCCGTAAATAGAATATTAAATTAATTGTGAGCTACTAATTATTTAATAAGTAAAAAAGCTATATTAAACTATTAGGCAATCTGATTCTTAGTCAATTGACGTGTTATGACATTATGCTAGTAGTGCATGTTACATCCTAGGAATTGTGCCCATAACCCGCTAATTAAAGATCCTGTACTGCATTAATACGAGTACAAGAGTTAAACAGTATAGTGAATTTTACACTCATTATTTTAGTTTATATCCATCCTATTACGAATAAGTAATGTGGTCATTTGGACCAAGACTTCGGATACTCACCATTTTGAGAGGGTTAGTCTGAATAAGAACAGTCTCCGTGAGCGCACAGTCCGGTGGGTCTGGCACGTGGACGCCCTTCCTCGCGAGTGTTTGCAATATGTTCCAATGGTTGAGGCTATGGTAGTTGGGGTCCGAGTACATGTTGGCGAGCGCTAGGCAGTACAGCTCCGCGTTAGCTAGACCGCCAACAATGGGCGGTTTTAGATGCTCCTGGTCCTGCAAATAGAAACATCAAATAAGTAATCTACACTAAAAATCTATTTCTGTATTAAACAAATAATATGCAACTTCATAAAGAAAGCAAGAAGAACCTGCAAGAAGTATCACGGCAATTAGATCTGTCTCACCTATATTTGCCACCAAGCAGGTGTTTAGTAGATATAGGTACGCTAAGTTTTGAATTGAACGTTGATACTTGTAGATGATAATTAAATTTCAGGACGGGGAAATATGACATAGTGCACAGAAATAGTAATCATAGGTGGTATCACAATTGCTGTTTATTTATTTAAATTTTAATGCACAAATACAATATATAAATGTATATATGGCAAACTTAACACCTAAGGGCATTCTCTACCAGTCAACCATAAGGCAAACTGAGAAGTTAGTAAGCGGCGCATTATAGTACAAAAACACTTTCGTGCTAACTTTACAATAATACATATTATTAGACATATTTACATATGATACAAATATATATATATATATATATGTTTATGTGTTACATATAGGCGCCATTTGTCACTTTCTGAGTATGTCCTTGTATATTTGTTCTACCAGTTATACAAGTAAATATCATGAAAATTACCCCTAGCCTAAATCAGATTTCTTTGGTTTCTGGACGACATAATTGTACATAAACACCTAAGTGGAGTATTCATCATATAAACGATGAAACAATTTCGAAGTCACCCAACAACAAGTTTATCACGAAACCCAGCTCTGGAAGTTAAGTACTAAGAAACTATTCTGCATATTAGACGACGACGACGACCTACAATTTAATCAAGTAAGTATATCAAGCAAACTTCTGTTTTACAATATCTTACGATATTATGTGTCTTACTGATGTAGACATTAATTTTATTAAGTGTAATACTTAATAAAATTAAAGTAAAGATACTTGTAACTTATCCATCAACTTAAAGTGGTTTTTGCTACTTAGGTTACTACTTAATAACATTCTTTTAAAAAAATTAAGAGTCTAAACCTTATTTATTTTTAACTCTTCAGAATATTTTACTAGAAAATTATATAAATAAATATAAATATGCGACGCTGCGGTAAGCAGTTTATCAGAAACAGAAAATGGTTGATAATAGTGCTATAGAATAATGTACGAGCATACACTAAACGTCAATAACATTATTTATACGACTTATACACGCCACATTTCAAGCAGCTAAAGAATTCATATTCTTCAAATTAATTAACCTAATTATATTAAATTACGTTAAAAAAGACGATATTGTCAATTAGACTGCATCGTTTGTATGTCATTTTATTCAATAATTCTAGAATCGATTTTCATATCTTTTTTGCAATCTACTTGACTTACTCCTGCGTAGAAATAGTAACTTTCATGTAATCATTAACTTACATGTTCGTTCATTCATTCATTATTTTAAGGTAACATGTCTGTAAAAATATTACGAAATCTGTCTAAATAATTCGATATACGAGAGAGACTGACCTACTAAATATTATCTGAATACACCCTTTAAAAGCTGTCATCAGTTTCATATATCAGGGAGGGAATTAGCAATGCGGACAATGTTTAATATTCCGAGAGGAATCTAGATCAATGTTAGGTCGCGACCCATTTCAAGAGAGCTTCTACGTAAGCCTCTTATCTTAAGGTATCATTTTAATCTCTGAGATGTATAAGAATCGGTTAATGATGCAAGTTAGGTATATAAACCTACTATCTATACATTTTTTGGTAATCTATCGACTAACATAATTAAAAGGTATTAATAGATAATATTAAGAAAGATTTTAAAAAAGTACATTAAACATATAATTCAATATAAATACAATTTATATTTATTCCAATAAACTAAATATATAGGATATCTTTTTTTTTTAATCTACGGCCTATTCAGGGTATGCAGAAGTTTAATGTGCACAAGAAAGGATGGACAAAAAAGAATTAGCAATTCCTACGAGTATCTATCATTTAGATCCACAGGCCTACTCTAAAGACTAATCTCAATATTCACCTAGATTATCTAGCATTTACCGTTAAATAGGTCGTATGCTTGTTGGACACCATCGTGAAAAAAGCAATTTCAATTTTATTCATTTTTGTACTGTTCATTTGAAACGTAATTCAGACTAAACCGAATAAATGAATAATAGTGTCAGTTATTTCTTACATTACTCACGAAATATGGAATTAATATGTTGCTAGTATAAAAAAAGGTGCCAAACGCAAACGCACGTCATTAAATCGGATTTAGCTTGTAGAGTAAACACGCTGTTCAATCATACTATTACTGAAAAAGGGATCTTTTGATTAATTAAACATCCACTACTGTATGGGCATATAAAAACTGAGTAATTTTAACTCAGATTCAACGTCTGAAGCGCATCACTTGTAATGGATAAACTGCTGGTAAAACAATATTATTAAATTAGGAGTGAACATTGCGTGATGTCTGTTCTGTGACATTGAAATTGGACTAGCCCCGGCGGGTGTGGTCAGACTGGCATAATCGCTATTGTGACGTCACTCGATATTTTTCAACACCCCAATATAGCCCTCCAACAAATGTATAATCTTGTGGTATAGTTACAAACTAAATATTTTTTTATTGATGATAATGGAATGGTTTACGCTGACGGGGAACCAGTGGAGGATGACAGAATGAGCATGAGTCAGGTCAATTAGACCACCGTCACATATTCACCAGGAATTTAACATGATGGTTTCCAGCAGAAACCGTGTGAAGCTGAGATGGTTCATGTCTAGCAACGTGGTTATCAGTTCATATTACAAACAATCCCCTGAACTAAAATAACAAGACGTCGAATTACAAAAAGAAGAAATTACAAGAATTCGAAGAGCAATACACGTATTTTGTTTATCTTGATTTTAATGACTTAAAAATGGAGATCTTCTCTAACTTATAATTTAAGTGTTAAAAGAAAACTAATGCTTGAATGATTTATTTCGATGGTATTGTTCTTATTTATATTCTTTAAATTAGAGTCAAATTATTCGGACGTATTATTGGATAGTTTGGGTTATTTGGGATGATTCATAGTTCATAGCATTGTATTGTATGTTAGAGTCTAAAAGTGAGACAATGGACTGATGACAATTTAAAAAAGACTAGTACTCAAACTCGCCCAGTGGTATAAATTTGACCATATTCGGTAAGACTATAGACAAATAATATTAAAGACAAACAATATTAATCTATTCTCAATTTGAGAACATACTTTAACAATAAACAAAAAGTATGTATGCATATATATAAAGCACGTGTATGTAATGTTTTTTTTTGTTATTGATTTAATATATTTTTTGCATTTTTGCAAACATCAAATCACACATTGACTTTATGGCTGTGGCAATTTAATATTTTTTTTTAGTTACAGCACACAAGCATGCATAACGTACAATTAATTAACACCGGTAGTACCACATGAACGGGTAATACTTTTTACGTGTTATTACTACAAAAAAGAGATTGGAAAATGACTTTATAATTTGTAGTGCTTTGTGAAAAAACACACATTTCAATACTTGATTATAATCAATGATTAGTGTGTTGTAGTATTAATTAAATTGTAATCATAGCTACGTCAATGTATAAGACTTATATTATTTATTTATATTAACTCCAAAAACAACTAATTCTGTCTTAAAGACTGATTTGTTAACCTACTGTCAAAATTGCTGAATTCAGAAATATGTTTCTTTTTTATCGCCATTTAGGTCTTCTTTGCATGGTCAGCAGATTTATTTATTAATTACTAGCTACCCGCATGGGCTTTGCATGGGTATACATGTATTATACTTATAAACGTTCCTCTAAAATCACTCTGTCTATTGCAAAAAATTGTACAAAATTTCGTTCCGTAGTTTAAAAGATCTAAGCGAACAGATAGCGGAAGCAACTTCGTTTTATACTGAGCTTAGGCAGAGTAAGGCGTATATAACAAATAGGCCAATCTGACTCACAGATCTCTCAATGTCAAAACTACAGGTCGTAAATAAATTAGGTTTAGGCATTCCAAAGAGATTTCTAGATATTATAAAAATAACGATTATATATTGTAGTGTTTTAGTCACGATAAAGACATTCGAGTGTTTTTGTGTATGTGTCGGATACACTTTCTGAAAGGATGTTTGTCACAAAATGAAACCAATATACAGGCGGATTTAAAAAATAACGTATCAAATTACAAGACGAAGATAATACAAAATTAATACAGTAGTCACACTCTCAAATAAAGTTCGCTAAAATTAGCACCTGAGTATTTCTTCCGGATGTACAACATAATACTTTACTTGTTATTATAATATTCAATTCGAAGGATTAAGAGGCCAGTAAGTAAACATACATAAAAACTGGTTTAGTTACAAAATCAAGCATTACGACATAATATTACCATCTCATTGACCATGGAACACCAAATGACACCAACACAACATGTGAAATATGAACATTAACGCGTGTCCCCGTTTGCTCTCACATTTGGTCTGGTCTACTTATTTCCAAACAAACTGTATGCATACCCATATTATCTTAAAAAACACAGATTTACAATAGATTGATAGAAAATTATTTATTTAAATGAACTTCAATTTAAGCATTTTTTGAAATGAATCATACGTTATCTTTACATATTATAAAACAAAGTTGCCGCCGCTGTCTGTTCATTTATATCTTTTAAATTACCCAACGGATTTTAATTCAGCAATAAGTAGAGTAATTCAAGAGGAAGATTTATATGTACGTAAAATATGCGTGTTATAGGATAGTACAAGCCGAGAAAATATTGTAATGCATCGCTAGTGTAATATAAAATTTGTGCTCACATTTAAATTAAGTATTTAAGTTACTACTGTAAGATTGTTTACAGTAGTTATATGGCTTAAATTAGAATAATATTACGTTATACATTTAAGTATTTTGACACTGGTACCTAAAATATAGATTTAATACCAATCATAAAGAAATTTTTCATTAGTAGGTATA